CAGGGTGTCTGGCCATCTCATCACCAGAGTAGGTCAGTTCCTGCCGTCTCTCGACCATTGCCAGCAGTCTTTTGCGGGGGTATCTTTGTGGATCTCCATGGGCCTCCCTAGCTCTCTGCTTCCTCCCCTTCTCATGTGGTCTACATGAACAGCCTGGTCATGAGTGGGAACAATGAAGGGCAACGGTCGAGGGAAAGAGAGCGGGAGATCCTAGCTGGATCAAGAAAAGAAAGGGAGAACAAGTTTTATTTTAAAAAGAGTTGGTAAGTGGGCAGAATGGCTATATTACCTGTATCCATTAGGAGTGTGTATGAGCAGGTGTGAGGCCTCGGTGAGGCATGAATCTGTCCTATGGAGTCTTCCTCAAATCTATGAGTTTAGTGTCACCTTAGGGGTTATGTAAGGAGGTGTGTCTCCAATTTTGTGTTTATGAGTCTTTCTGAAGTAGTGGGGTCTCAGGTGTGTTTGGGTCCAACACAGGCGTGTGTAATGTAGAGCCTACTCCCATGGAAGTGGTTGTACCTGTGTCTGGTGTTGGGCAGCCGTGGGGGGGGGGGCGCCTGTCTGCCTGTCTGTTGGGGGGCGGGTGGGTGTGGGGCGCTTTCGTTCAGTTCAGAGGAAGGTGGTCTCTGATAGGTAAGTGCGTGGTTCTAGAAAAAGGTGTGCCAGGTGTGCGCGCCGCTGCGGGGCATCAAGGCGAGGGCGCCGCAGGGACGGGAGGAGCCGCGTGCGCCCTGCAGGGGGCGCCGCCCGGGACGGTTTGGCTGCGGCGCCTGCCCAGCAGGGCATTTCCGCTCCGCGCCCGGCACGCTCCCCGCGATCCTCTTGACCCGGTGCAGGTGAGGCGCTGAACCGGCTGGGACTGGGAGCCTGGGGCGGTTTAGGGACTCAGCCACCAGCCCGCGGGTCGTCTGCCGCTAGCGTCCCTGCTGATGCGGGGCCCGCGGGCGGAACCCTCGCGGCGGGGCGCACATTTGACCCCGGAAAACCGCCGGGGACGGCCCACGCTGTGGACGCGATGGCCACCGCGGACGCAGACAGAGACGCTGCTCGCTCCTTGTGGCTCCGGCAGGTAGTTGAAGATACTAAGTGGAATGAGGCTGTTTTCAAAAGTTCTGCCTTTTAATTTTAGGCGTTTCTTAGGTGTAAGGAAATCAAAACTTGCAAAAGAATCCAAAACCGACTTCTGTTGATCAGTTTCTGATCTTAGATCCTTTTGGAGTCGTTAATAACACATCTGGATCTTTGGAGGTTTTTGCCTTTGAATTCTATTCCTTGTTTTCATTGCTGTTTCATTCTATTAACCAGTTATAACAGGATAGCCTCACTCAAAACCCATCAGAGGTGTGCGTGTGTTTTAACTTAGCTTCTTAACTCCAAGCTCAGTTTATTCATGTTGGAGGAATAAGGAAACACGTTCAAGTAGGAGCCGTTTTTTAAAGAGTAGGCTGAAGGTCCCAGTAAGAAATCGTGAGTTAAAAATAAAGGCTATCACTGCCTAGATGAGAGGAGGGGACTGGACCTGCCTGGACTGAGTCTACCAGGTTGTACTCAGTCCTCGGGGGAGGCTTTGCCCTGGAGGAGATGAGAATGGGGGATGGGCTGGGGGGAAGGGGAGGGGGCAGGATGGGGGAGAACAAGGGAATCCGTGGCTGCTATGTAGAACTGAATGGTATTGTAAAATAAAATAAAAGGGGAAAAAAAAAGGCTGTATTTGAATCAATTGGAATTGCCTAAGAGGTAAGTCTTGTGCACACGTGTGCTTATTTCCCTCTAGTTGAAGGCTTTCTCCTGGCCTGGTTCCTGTAATTGAAGTACTAACAGGAGGAGCCTTGCAGTTTGCACTCATTTTTTCTGAACCCACTCCCAGGAGAAGTTAGAAGTCCCTGAGTAAACAGACCAGTCTTCCCCAATGGAGAACATTCGTCTTTAAAAGCTTAGTTTGCAAAGTTAATTGGTGGCTTTTTGTACTGAACTTTTTTTTTTTTTTTTTTTTAAACTAGTAAACCTTACTAACAATGACCTTAGCATACAACAAGCCCAGGATTAGATCTGGAAAACAAAGTTGGGATTGGATATGTAGCTCACTGGTCAAATAACACTTTATTATGTGTGAGGTGGTGAGGTAGAACCCTACTAATGACTGTGGTGATCTTGGATAGTGGATGGCAGTGTGTAGTACAGATCCAAAACCCTGCAATAGTTAATTTTTAAAATGATATGGTCAAGCCAGGTGTGGTGGCTGATGCCTGTAATCCTAGCACTCAAGACTGAAGGGGGCCATCCTGGGCTATGAAAGACCTTACATCAAAAAATAACACTATGTGTTGTTTTCTCTTTGTCTAGTGAGAGCTCCAGTTCTGTCGGTGCTTGAAACGGAGTCATTGCATAACTTTATTGTACCCTGCACCCTAGACACTAGTGCCGTCGTGTTTGAAGAGGGATGTGGCCCATAGGAAGGGTAGCAAAAGGACAGCATTAAATGACCTTAGCAGTCTTCTCTAGAACATTCCCCATCTGGGGCCAATAGATATTAGACATTTTATTCAGAGAGCCTGAGCTAACCATGACTATCCAGGGGCTTGACTAAGTCAAATGCTTCTCTGTATTGTTGATGAACTGCTCTGGGAAGGACAGCCTTGCTTAGGTTGCAGGCCCAACCCCTGGAACCCAGAGCCATGTAGGCTCTGGTTACTTTGTGAGGTATTATTATGCTCCCTCAACTGAGTTCACAGAAAAGGCTAGTTCTGAGTTTATATGGCATTATGAGTCAATAGATGTTATCACTCATATGAGAAGGGTGAGGTACAAGGTCATATGCTATTGGAGTGAAAGCTCTTAGCAGGAGACACAGCAAAGGTCTTTTGGGGCTAAACCTTGAGCAGAGGGTGACTTTTTATGGAGGAATGGGACAGTGACATTCCTGGTTTTAGACACCATGGTCAAAAGACAAGATGAATATATCAAACTATGTTTAGAAAGAGCAAGGGAGCCAACAGGTGTGTTGAGACTGCCTGGGCATAGGGAGAGCTAAACCAGATTGGAAGGAAAGACTGTGATAAGTTCTGTTTCTTATCAAGGTTCTGATTTTTCCTTTTTAGTTGGAATTTTTTTAATTTATTTACTTTTATTTTATTTACATTGGTATTTTGCCTATGTATATGTGAAGGTGTCAGATCATGGAGTTAGAGACAGTTGTGAGCTGCCATGTAGGTGCTGGGAATTGAACCCAGGTCCTCTGGAAGAGCAGTTAGAGCTCTTAAACACTGAGCCATCTCTCAAGCACCTTAGTTGGAACATTTTTAACCAAAGAAATAATCTAATGAACTTCCAGATAGTCACTAAATAGATCTCATGATTCTGTTCAACCTGATATGCATTCTTTCCCATTGGTCATTTAAGACTGGAAATATAGCTCAGTGGTAGAGCACCTGCCTCGCATTTGCAAGGTCCTAGGTTTTACCCTCAATACTGCAAGAAAAAAAATAGTGATTGATTTAAAACAGTTTATTCTAGATAGCATAACAGTTCTCCTTTAAATAATTAGTTTGTACCTTCAAAGAAGGAACATTTTCTTCTGGGTCCACAATGTCATCATCACCTCTTAGCAGATTACCTCAAAATGCTCAAAATTTTATGTTGGTTTGTTGTGTAAAATATTGTGCAAATAAGTGGTATCTGTTCATTGACCTTTTCAGGCTAGGGCAAGCATTTAGCAACCTTTCCCTGTAAAGGGGCAAATACAGACTCAGGCTTTGCAGGCCTGAAGTCTTTAAACAAATGCCTAGCTCTGAAATTGCCATGTTAAAGTAGCCATGGCTGATACATATTAAATGTGCATAACTATGCTCAAATAATGTTTAATTTTCTGGGCTGGTTGTTTTGGTTTGTGTGTGTGTGTGTGTGTGTGTGCGCGCGCGCGCACACACGCGCGCGCTGTTGTTTAAAATTCCCTGCAAGGTTCATCTTACACACAGGCTATGGCTGGCTGACTTTGATCTGGAGCAGCTCATGAGTTCTTTCCTTCCTTTTTTCTTAAACAAAAAACAACAACCACCAAAAAATTTGCTTATTATGTATATGTGTGTGAAAGACAGGACAGCTTATGGGAGTCAGTTCTCCCTTCCGCAACATGGTTCCAGGGCTTGAACTCAGGTTGTCATGCCTGGTGGCAAGTGCCTCTACCCACTGAGCTGTTTCCCTGGTTTCATTGGTTTCTTTAATGTTGGTGATTTATTGATATCACTTGGCTGGTACCACATTCTGAGCTTGGGGGTTGTTTTTGCTTGAGTCCAATTAGATAGCTTGATTACTGCCAAGATCTGAGTGCCACTACTGCACCCTTAGGAATCGCTTGCCCTGTTGGTCATAGTTATGGTTCATAGGTGTCACAGCTAGGTATGATTTTTGGTTGCTTCCCTCCCTTGGCATAGTACCCTGTATAGTACCTTCAGTACCCTGAAAGCTAGTCCTCAGAGAGGAGGCTTTCAGGTCACATCCAGCTCAGATCCTCTGAATCCTATGTCGAAAGTAAGTGGTGTCTTTAGCAATAGGGACTTGCCTTCAACCTATGGGAGGCCACCAAGGGCAACAGAAACAGCCTGTATTATTTTGGGAGTCTCTTGGACTCCCTTGACTTAAAAGGGGCTTTCCCATGCTGGGTACTGGTGATTTTGCTAGAAATCTATGGGTCTTGAGAGAAGCATTGTCAGCCCAAGTGGCATAACTCCTTTTAAATTATATATAAATTAGTATTACTTTTCCCTCATCCCTCCCTTTCCTATTGTACTGATGTGTTGCTCAAATCTTAAATTGGTCTTTTAATAAAAAACCCAGTAGCCAGATATTGGGGTAAATGCTGAAAGATCAGAGAGACAAAAGAACAAGCCACAGCCACGTCTCACTTCACCAACTCTGATTCTTCTGACTGAATGTCTCTGAAGCTCTCCAGCAGAAAAACCTCTAGCTGAAAAGGCTTTAGTTCCTGTCTCCTCACGACTCAATATACCTTTCTCGGCCTAGTCATTCATATTACTTCCTTTTTTGTGCTAGAATTAAAGGCATGTAATTCCCAAGCAAAGGCAGATCTCAAGTGCTGGGATTAAAGGTGTGTGCCACCACTACCTGACTCTGTTTCTCTCCTAGACTGAGTCAGTCTCATGTAGTCCAGGGTGGATTTGAACTCACGGAGATCCAAAGGGATCTCTGCCTCCTGAGTGCTAGGATTAAAGGTGTGTGCCACCACTGTCTGGCCTCTATGTTTACTCTAGTGACTTGTTCTGTCCTCTGATCTTCAGGCAGATTTTATTAGGGTACACAATGTATCACCACATTGATTTACATCTCTGTGTATATATACAAGAGGCCAAAGAGGACAGAAGATGATGACAGATTCCCTGGAGCTGGAGTCACTGACAGTTGTAAGAAGCAGGCCCACTCTGGTGCTGGGAAACAAACTCAAGTCCTCTGGAAGAACAGCAAGTACTCTTAACTGCTGTGCCATCCCTCCAGCCCCAGTGAGCAGGGAAAAGAGAAAAGGAAGAAGTTAAATTTGTTTATCAGAGGAATCCACTTAAGAAACAATGGCATTAATCTATTCATGTGGGCAGACCCCATGAATCACCTCTAAGGGTCCTTCCCTCAACACTCCTACATTAGGGGGATTAACTTTATAGCACATGAATTTTGGGGACACCATCAAAGCAGAGGAAACATTTAAATGACAGCAGTCTGGGTCCACATACACCTCTTGATTCTGTCCCATCCCCACAGCTCTGGGTATCTTCCCTCTTTGTCCTGGTGGTATGTTTGAATTCCACATTATTTGGCTTTATTATTGGTTTCTATTTTTTACTTTAAGAAATACATCACAACTTAAGTAATACATCATGATCATTATGAAAGCCCCCATTGTTCCCCAAATATACCTTCCCAGGCCCTGCATAACCTCATTCTAGACATGGAGTTCAGCATTTTTGTAGGATGAACTAAATATCGAGCCAGACACATCCTGCTCTCACAGCACTTATGTCAGCTGGCAGCTACTTGCGGTTACAAAGTTAAAAGGTAATA